ATACACCAGTGTCTCTGCTGCCTGTCCCTCATACACCAGTGTCTCTGCTGTCTGTCCATCATACACCAGTGTCTCTGCTTCCTGTCCCTCATACACCAGTGTCTTTGCTGCCTGTCCCTCATACACCAGTGTCTCTGCTACCTGTCCTTCATACACCAGTGTCTCTGCTGCCTGTCCCTCATACACCAGTGTCTCTGCTGCCTGTCCCTCATACACCAGTGTCTCTGCTGCCTGTCCCTCATACACCAGTGTCTCTGCTGTCTGTCCCTCATACACCAGTGTCTCTGCTGCCTGTCCCTCATACACCAGGTTGTCTTCTCATACCCTGTCTGCGCCTCCCTCATACACCAGTGTCTCTGCTGCCTGTCCCTCATACACCAGTGTCTCTGCTGCTGTCCTCATACACCAGTGTCTCTGCTGCCTGTCCCTCATACACCAGTGTCTCTGCTGCCTGTCCCTCATACACCAGTGTCTCTGCTGCCTGTCCCTCATACACCAGTGTCTCTGCTGCCTGTCCCTCATACACCAGTGTCTCTGCTGCCTGTCCCTCATACACCAGTGTTGTGCTGTCTTCCTATACCATGTCTCTGCTGCCTGTCCCTCATACACCAGTGTCTCTGCTGCCTGTCCCTCATACACCAGTGTCTCTGCTCCTGTCCTCATACACCAGTGTCTCTGCTGCCTGTCCCTCATACACCAGTGTCTCTGCTGCCTGTCCCTCATACACCAGTGTCTCTGCTACCTGTCCCTCATACACCAGTGTCTCTGCTGCCTGTCCCTCATACACCAGTGTCTCTGCTGCCTGTCCCTCATACACCAGTGTCTCTGCTGCCTGTCCCTCATACACCAGTGTCTCTGCTACCTGTCCCTCATACACCAGTGTCTCTGCTACCTGTCCCTCATACACCAGTGTCTCTGCTGCCTGTCCTCATACACCTGCTCTGCTACCTGCCTCATACACCAGTGTCTCTGCTGCCTGTCCCTCATACACCAGTGTCTCTGCTGCCTGTCCCTCATACACAGTGTCTCTGCTGCCTGTCCCTCATACACCAGTGTCTCTGCTGCCTGTCCCTCATACACCAGTGTTCTCTGCTGTCCCTCATACACGTGTCTCTGCTACCTGTCCCTCATACACCAGTGTCTCTGCTGACCTGTCCCTCATACACCAGTGTCTCTGCTGCCTGTCCCTCATACACCAGTGTCTCTGCTGCCTGTCCCTCATACACAGTGTCTCTGCTGCCTGTCCCTCATACACCAGTGTCTCTGCTGCCTGTCCCTCATACACCAGTGTCTCTGCTGCCTGTCCCATACACCAGTGTCTCTGCTGCCTGTCCCTCATACACCAGTGTCTCTGCTACCTGTCCCTCATACACCAGTGTCTCTGCTACCTGTCCCTCATACACCAGTGTCCTGCTGCCTGTCCCTCATACACCAGTGTCTCTGCTGCCTGTCCCTCATACACCAGTGTCTCTGCTACCTGTCCCTCATACACCAGTGTCTCTGCTGCCTGTCCCTCATACACAGTGTCTCTGCTACCTGTCCCTCATACACCAGTGTCCTGCTGCCTGTCCCTCATACACCAGTGTCTCTGCTGTCTGTCCCTCATACACCAGTGTCTCTGCTGCCTGTCCCTCATACACCAGTGTCTCTGCTGCCTGTCCCTCATACACTAGTGTCTCTGCTGCCTGTCCCTCATACACCAGTGTCTCTGCTGCCTGTCCCTCATACACCAGTGTTGCTGTCTGCCATACACTGTCCTCAACACAGCTTTCTCTTTCGCATGGTATTATTATAGCTGTCATTGAGTGGTGTGTCATTACCACAGGCTGTCTGTCGGGAGTGTGCTGTCATTACCACAGGCTGTCAGTGTCGGGAGTGGTGGCGTCATTACCACAGGCTGTCAGTGTCAGAGTGTGGCTGTCATTACACAGGCTGTCAGTGTCAGGAGTGGTGGCTGTCATACCACAGGCTGTCAGTCAGTGGTGGCTGTCATTACCACAGGCTGTCAGTGTCAGGAGTGGTGGCTGTCATTACCACAGGCTGTCAGTGTCAGGAGTGGTGGCTGTCATTACCACAGGCTGTCAGTGTCAGGAGTGGTGTTGTCATTACCACAGGCTGTCAGTGTCGGAGTGGTGGCTGTCATTACCACAGGCTGTCAGTTCAGAGTGGTGGCTGTCATTACCACAGGCTGTCAGTGTCAGGAGTGGGGCTGTCATTACACAGGCTGTCAGTGTCAGGAGTGGTGGCTGTCATTACCACAGGCTGTCAGTGTCAGGAGTGGTGGCTGTCATTACCACAGGCTGTCAGTGTCAGGAGTGGTGACTGTCATTACCACAGGCTGTCAGTGTCATGAGTGGTGACTGTCATTACCACAGGCTGTCAGTGTCAGGAGTGGTGGCTGCCATTACCACAGGCTGTCAGTGTCAGGAGTGGTGGCTCTCATTACAACAGGCTGTCAGTGTCATGAGTGGTGGCTGTCATTACCACAGGCTGTCAGTGTCATGAGTGGTGACTGTCATCACCACAGGCTGTCAGTGTCATGAGTGGTGACTGTCATTACCACAGGCTGTCAGTGTCATGAGTGGTGACTGTCATTACCACAGGCTGTCAGTGTCATGAGTGGTGACTGTCATCACCACAGGCTCTCAGTGTCATGAGTGGTGACTGTCATTACCACAGGCTGTCAGTGTCATGAATGGTGACTGTCATTACCACAGGCTGTCAGGGTCAGGAGTGGCGGCTGCCATCACCACAGGCTGCAGGTAAGCCTAGTTGTAAATGATACGTGGAAACGGATAAATTGTGGATAGTGGCACTTGTATGTATTTTAAAAGGGTATCAGAAGGAGGGTATCAGAAGGAGGGTATCAGAAGAAGGGTATCAGAAGGAGGGTATCATAAGGAGGGTATCATAAGGAAGGTATCAGAAGGAGGGTATCAGAAGGAGGGTATCAGAAGAAGGGTATCAGAAGGAGGGTATCATAAGGAGGGTATCATAAGGAAGGTATCAGAAGGAGGGTATCAGAAGAAGGGTATCAGATGGAGGATATCAGAAAGAGGGTATCAGAAGGATTGTATCAGAAGGATGGTATCAGAAGGATGGTATCAGAAGGAGGGAATCATAAGGAGGGTATCAGAAGGAGGGTATCAGAAGGAGAGTATCAGAAGGAGGATATCAGAAGGATAGTATTAGAAGAAGGGTATCAGGAGGATGGTATCAGAAGGAGGGTATCAGAAGGAGGATATCAGAAGGAGGGTATCAGAAGGATGGTATCAGAAGGATGGTATCAGAAGGAGGATATCAGAAGGAAGGTATCAGAAGGAGGGTATCAGAGAATGGTATCAGAAGGATGGTATCAGAAGGAGGGTATCAGGAGGGTATCAGAAGGATGGTATCAGAAGGATGGTATCAGAAAAATGGTATCAGAAGGATGGTATCAGAAGAAGGCTATCAGAAGGAGGGTATCAGAAGGATGGTATCAGAAGGATGGTATCAGAAGGAGGGTATCAGAAGGAAGGTATCAGAAGGATGGTATCAGAAGGATGGTATCAGAAGGAGGGTATCAGAAGGAGGGTATCAGAATGATGGTATCAGAAGGATGGTATTAGAAGGAGGGAATCAGAAGGATGGTATCAGAAGGATGGTATCAGAAGGAGGGTATCAGAAGGAGGGTATCAGAAGGATGGTATCAGAAGGATGTTATCAGAAGGATTGTATCAGAAGGAGGGTATCAGAAGGAGGGTATCAGAAGGAAGGTATCAGAAGGACGGTATCGGAAGGGTGGTATCAGAAGGATGGTATCAGAAGGAGAGTATCAGAAGGAGGGTATCAGAAGGATGGTATCAGAAGGATGGTATCAGAAGGATGGTATCAGATGGATGGCATCAGAAGGATGGTATCAGAAGGAGGGTATCAGAAGGATGGTATCAGAAGGATGGTATCAGAAGGAGGGTATCAGAAGGAAGGTATCAGAAGGATGGTATCAGAAGGAGGGTATCAGAAGGAAGGTATCAGAAGGAGGGTATCAGAAGGAGGGTATCAGAAGGAGGGTATCAGAAGGAGGGTATCAGAAGGATGGTATCAGAAGGATAGTATCAGAAGGAGGGTATCAGAAGGAGGGTATCAGAAGGAGGGTATCAGAAGGAGGGTATCAGAAGGAAGGTATGAGAAGGAGGGTATCAGAAGGAGGGCATCAGAGGGATGGTATCAGGAGGGTATCAGAAAGGAGTATCGGACGAATAGTATCATAAGGAGAGTATCGGAAGGTGGGTATCAGAAAGACGATATAAAAAGGATGGGTATCAGAATAAGGGTAATAGAAGGATGTTATTAGAAAGAGGGAATCAGAAAGGGTATCAGTAGGAGGGGTATTAGTAGAAGGGGTATCAGTAGGAGGGGTATCAGGAGGGGTATCAGTAGGCGGGTATCAGTAGGAGTGCATCATAAGACGAGTATCAGTAGGATGGGTATTAGTAGGAAGGATATCAGTAGGAGGGGTATCAGAAGGAGGGGTATCGGAAGGAGGGGTAACAGGAGGAGTATCAGTAGGAGAGATATCACAAGGAGGCGTATCAGTAGGAGGGGTATCAGAATAAGGGGTATCAGGAGGAGAGGTATTAGGATGGGTATCAGTAGGAGGTTTATCAGAAGGAGGGGTATCAGAGGTACATAATGGGTGTAGGGACTGTACCTCAACATTACAGAGGTACATAATGGGTGTAGGGACTGTACCTCAACATTACAGAGGTACATAATGGGTGTAGGGACTGTACCTCAACATTACAGAGGTACATAATGGGTGTAGGGACTGTACCTCAACATTACAGAGGTACATAATGGGTGTAGGGACTGTACCTCAACATTACAGAGGTACATAATGGGTGTAGGGACTGTACCTCAACATTACAGAGGTACATAATGGGTGTAGGGACAGGGCAGCAAAGTTCTGATAGCTGAACAAGTTATAATTACAATAAACTCTTGGTTCACCTTTGTAACAGCGGAAGGAATGATTGAACATCGTCCATTTCTGCTGGCTGAGTTGATGCATTACAACATCCTCCTGGACGAAGCTCTCTTTATCATCACCAACGATGGATGTGAGGCTGTTGGTCTCCAGGACTGTGACACAAGTACGTACCTCACACACGTACACACACGTACACACACGTGCACACACGTGCACACACACACACACACACACACACACACACACACACACACACACACACACACATACACACGTATACACACACACACAACAAACAGGACAAGTATCTATCGACAAATGCCTTTGACAACTGATAACTAAGAAACTTGCTAATTAACTATTAACCAAGGAACTACCTATCTACCTAACTACCTACCTAACTACCTACCTACCTACCTAACTACCTAACTAACTACCTAACTAACTAACTAACTAACTACCTAATACCTAACTAATTAACTAACTAACTACTAACTAACTAACTAACTAACTAACTAACTAACTAACTAACTAACTAACTAACTAACTAACTAACTAACTAACTAACTAACTAACTAACTAACTAACTAACTAACTAACTAACTAACTAACTAACTAACTAACTAACTAACTAACTAACTAACTAAATTAACTAACTAACTAACTAACTAACTAACTAACTAACTAACTAACTAACTAACTAACTAACTAACTAACTAACTAAACTAATAACCTAACTAAATAAACTAACAAAACTAAAACTAACTACTAACTACTAACTAACTAACTAACTACGTAACTAACTAACTAACTAAGTACCTAACTAACTAACTAACTAACTAACTAACTAACTAACTAACTAACTAACTAACTAACTAACTAACTAACTAACTAACTAACTAACTAACTAGCTAACTAACTAAATAACTAACTAACTAACTACGTAACTAACTAACTAACTAACTAACTAACTAACTAACTAACTAACTAACTAACTAACTAACTAACTAACTAACTAACTAACTAACTAACTAACTAAGTACCTAACTAACTAACTAACTAACTAACTAACTAACTAACAACTACGTAACTAACTTCCTAAGTAACTAACTAACTAACTAACTAACTAACTAACTAACTAACTAACTAACTAACTAACTAACAACTACGTAACTAACTTCCTAAGTAACTAACTAACTAACTAACTAACTAACTAACTAACTAACTAACTAACTAACTAACTAACAACTACGTAACTAACTTCCTAAGTAACTAACTAACTAACTAACTAACTAACTAACTAACGTAACTAATCAACAGAAACACACAAAACAATGAGTTAAAAAAATTTCCAAAAATTTTGACCAACAAAGGAGAAAAAATTAATATTAACAAAAGTTGTGCAGATTTTTTTTTGTTTTATTATTAATACAATTGACTCACGTAATTATTTTATTACAGAAATAATGTAATTTATATAATTAAAAAAATAACCGGATGACAGACCGAACATAATAACTAAATTCAATAAATCTTAAAAAAAAAATTCGTAATTATAATAACTCATTATTATTAGATTTTAATAACAATTACATAAATTATAATGATAATAATCCTTATTAATAATTATAAATAATTTTAATTGAACACTGATGAACAAAGGGGAGTTCAGCTGAGAGGACGGAGGGTCGAGCCTCCACCAGTCCATGTACTGAAGAACCCACACGGATTTAACGCTTTATGTGAGAGATTGAACTGCATTCCTACATACTGATGTATATATATATATATATATATATATATATATATATATATATATATATATATATATATATATATATATATATATATATATATATATATATATATATATATTTATGGCATATCCAAGTGTACGTGTCATGACGTGTCGTACACGTGTCGTACACGTGTCGTACACGTGTCGTACACGTGTCGTACACGTGTCGTACACGTGTCGTACACGTGTCGTACACGTGTCGTACACGTGTGTTACTCCCACAGCTACCGCTTGTGTTGCTGGTAGTATTGACGACCTCAACACCGAGATTCAGCAGTTGTTTGGGTAGGTATTATTATTATTATTATTATTATGATGATGATGATTATTGTTATTGTTATTAAAGTCACTGAGAAGCTCTAAACTCTTAGGGGTTGCGCTATATCTGGAGAATGAGAGGTAATTTTGTTTTGATCCAAGGAAGGGAAGGCTTATCGAGTTGCTTTAACGTGTTATTTATCGTTTATATTTGTAAATTAATTACGTTTGTTTTTATGGAATTTGTTTTATTCGTGTGTGGTGTGTGGTGTGTGTGTGTGTGTGTGTGTGTGTGTGTGTGTGTGTGTGTGTGTGTGTGTGTGTGTGTGTGTGTGTGTGTGTGTGTGTGTGTGTGTGTGTGTGTGTGTGTGTGTGTGTGTGTGTGTGTGTGTGTGTGGGTGTGTGTGTGTGTGTGTGTGTGTGTGTGTGTGTGTGTGTGTGTGTGTGGGTGTGTGTGTGTGTGTGTGTGTGTGTGTATCAGGATCGTGTCCATACCAGGGGAACACGGCTTCATGGGGGCTGCCGGTCTGCTGGAATTCGGTTCGCAGTTCAACTACTCTGCTCGACCTGTCGTTGACCAGTGCCATGGCCTCAATTGTTACGTTTTCGAAACCTGTTTGAACGACCCGGCAGAGGACGCCGAGGTTCTCTACGTCTACTATTGGTCTAGTGAGTACTTTTCATCCACCCTATTATTTTTCTCCCCTTTCGAAATTTGACTTTTCAGTCCATTTTGCCGTTGGGAATTTTCACCTAAAAATCGTAACGTTGGCCTTTGAGATTAGTTTTTTTTTTGACTTACGAAAGCGTAATAAGCCCCACCATGAGTTCAAGCCCCATCCGTTCCGTGGTTCACCTTTCTGTTTTCGTTGCACCTCAGCCGAGGACTGGAACGTACGTAACGATGGTAAACAAGTGCCCATTGCGGTGGAGATGTATGCTACGGGCAAGTACAACGGTGCCTCCGTCCAGGAGGTCATGGTACGTTATGACTTCTTTGACTTCAGACGAGACTGGGTGCCATCACGAGACGAACTGGAGGTGACTTCATTATTATTATTATTATTACTATTATTATTATTATTATTATTATTATTATTATTATTATTATTATTATTATTATTATTATTATTATTGTTATTATTATTATTATTATTATTATTATTATTATTATTATTATTAGTTATTATTAGTGTTATTATTAATTATTATTAATGATTATTATCATTATTATTGTTATTACTATTATTATTATTATTATCATTATCATTATTGCCATTATTATTATTATCATTATTATTATACTTAGAGGGGAAGATTAAATCTGTAGAGGTAATAAAGTGCCTGGGGAATGGGAGGTGATCAGGTTTGATCCAAGGAAGGAAAATGTAGCTTCAGTTCTTTGGATCAAAAGCCATCCACCACCACCCACATGGATCCCTTAAGGGATCCGTCACACCTACAAATCCCTATAGATGTTTTTTCACTCCGGGCCTGTGTATCTCTCTCTCTCTCTCTCTCTCTCTCTCTCTCTCTCTCTCTCTCTCTCTCTCTCTCTCTCTCTCTCTCTCTCTCTCTCTCTCTTTCTCACCTGAGCATCATTACAAGTATCTCTCTCTCTCTCTCACCTGTGCATCATTACAAAAGTCTTTCTCTCTCTCTCACTTACACAGCCTCCGGCTAATGTTTACTGCGCTGGCCGGAAGACTTACATAGACCCTCCCCAGGCAGTTCCCTTCTTCTTCTACAACACAGAAGTAGTGGTTAGTGTGGATATTGCCTTCCCAGACGGTGATAACCAGACCACACCTTTCAAGTTCAGCCTCCTCTACCCCACGAAGGTAAGTCATAGCATCCTCTACCCCACGAAGGTAAGTCATAGCATCCTCTACCCCACGAAGGTAAGTCACAGCATCCTCTATCCCACGAAGGTAAGTCACAGCATCCTCTACCCCACGAAGGTAAGTCACCGCATCCTCTACCCCACGAAGGTAAGTCACAGCATCCTCTACCCCACGAAGGTAAGTCACAGCATCCTCTACCCCACGAAGGTAAGCCACAGCATCCTCTACCCCACGAAGGTAAGCCAGAGCATCCTGTACCCCACGAAGGTAAGTCACAGCATCCTTTACCCCACGAAGGTAAACCAGAGCATCCTCTACCCCACGAAGGTAAGCCAGAGCATCCTCTACCCCACGAAGGTAAGCCAGAGCATCCTCTACCCCACGAAGGTAAGTCACAGCATCCTCTACCCCACGAAGGTAAGTCACAGCATCCTCTACCCCACGAAGGTAAGTCACAGCATCCTCTACCCCACGAAGGTAAGCCACAGCATCCTCTACCCCACGAAGATAAGCCACAGCATCCTCTACCCCACGAAGATAAGCCACAGCATCCTCTACCCCACGAAGATAAGCCACAGCATCCTCTACCCCACGAAGATAAGCCACAGCATCCTCTACCCCACGAAGATAAGCCACAGCATCCTCTACCCCACGAAGGTAAGAATCACATCCATACTGAAATAGATATTTTTTTAGTTCAGATTTTCTTTTGGTAGCCACTTGACATTTCTGAGTCTCGTCAAATACTCTGATCTTCAAGAATAAAGGTGATTTGACCTGACCATCCGCTTTGACCTCCCTTTCTTTATATTTCTCTTCCATAATTTTCTCACCTGTGACTTAATAATAGTCTACGACGAATCGAAACATAGCTGTCATCATTTCTATTTTGCTGAATAACTGAGGCAATCTAGTTCTTAAAACGACCAGGTGAGAGATGCATCAGCGTTCCACTGCAGTCTGACTAGCACCTCAGTGGCCTCCCAGAATCAATACCAGAAACCAATTCATGATGAGAATCTTTTTCATGGCTGACGAAGAAACGTTCAGGGTCATGATCAACTGTATAAGACAGTCTGTGTACTACCAATCATATCCTTAATAAACAGATAACTCGCGCATAGGAGAGAGGAGCTTACGACGATGCTTCGGTCCGTCTCGGACCATTCACAGTCACATTGTGACTTTGTGTATTGTTCCAGTCATGGAATTGTGCCTTAGTGTTCATAACCTTAGGTGGTTTGTCACCTTGATGTCATTACGGAAGTGACCTCACCTTCCGCCAACCTCATACACGATTAATTGATGTCATAAACAGGTGTATACACACTTACCTAAGCTCTGGTTAACGTAAAATAGGTGTTAAGAATTCTCTTGTTTACCATTTACCTCTAAGTAGGTATCCCTTTTTTCATCACACAATTGAACCCGTGTGTTACCTATCCACACACCCCTGAACACGTGTGCTACCTACCCACACACCCCTGAACACGTGTGTTACCTACCCACACACCCCAGAACACGTGTGCTACCTACCCACACACCCCAGAACACGTGTGCTACCTACCCACACACCCCAGAACACGTGTGCTACCTACCCACACCCCCCTGAACACGTGTCTTGGTCTAACTCTGGCAGGTGTGGTATGACTGGACGATGAAAATCACCAAGAAAGAGTTTGTTCCCATCACCGTCTTCAACAGCACAAGACGTTATGAGAACTACACCACCGTCATCCATGAGTTTAACCAAGGTAAGTGTGACCCTGCTGGTGTGACCCTGCTGGTGTGACCCTGCTGGTGTGACCCTGCTGGTGTGACCCTGCTGGTGTGACCCTGCTGGTGTGACCCTACTGGTGTGACCCTGCTGGTGAACGTGACCATGTTGGTGTGATCCTGCTGATGTGACCCTGCTGGTGTGACCCTGCTGGTGTGACCCTGCTGGTGTGACCCTGCTGGTGTGACCCTGCTGGTGAGTGTGACCCTGCTGGTGTGACCCTGCTGGTGAGTGTGACCCTGCTGGTGTGACCCTGCTGGTGTGACCCTGCTAGGGTGACCCTGCTGGTGATTGTGACCCTGCTGGTGACTGTGACCCTGCTGGTGTGACCCTGCTGGTGTGACCCTGTTGGTGTGACCCTGCTGGTGTGACCCTGCTGGTGACTGTAACCCTGCTGGTGAGTGTGACCCTGCTGGTTTGACCCTGATGGTGTGACCCTGCTGGTGTGACCCTGCTGGTGTGACCCTGCTGGTGACTGTAACCCTGCTGGTGAGTGTGACCCTGCTGGTGAGTGTGACCCTGCTGGTGACTGTGACCCTGCTGGTGAGTGTGACCATGTTGGTGTGATCCTGCTGGTGTGACCCTGCTGGTGAACGTGACCATGTTGGTGTGATCCTGCTGATGTGACCCTGCTGGTGTGACGTTGCTGGTGTGACCCTGCTGGTGTGACCCTGCTGGTGAGTGTGACCCTGCTGGTGAGTGTGACCCTGCTGGTGTGACCCTGCTGGTGAGTGTGACCCTGTTGGTGTGGCCCTTCTGGTGTGACTCTGCTGGTGTGACCCTGCTGGTGAGTGTGACCCTGCTGGTGAGTGTGACCCTGCTGGTGAGTGTGACCCTGCTGGTGACTGTGACCCTGCTGGTGACTGTGACCCTGCTGATGAGTGTGACCACACTGGTGAGTGTGTCCTTGCTGGTGACTGTTACCCTGCTGGTGAGTGTGACCCTGCTGGTGAGTGTGACCCTGCTGGTGAATGTGACCCTGCTGGTAAGTGTGACCCTACTGGTGTGATCCTGCTGGTGAGTGTGGCCCTGCTGGTGTGACCCTGCTGGTGAATGTGACCTTGCTGGTGAGTGTGACTCTGCTGGTGTGGCCCTGATGGTGACTGTGACCCTGCTGATGAAAGTGATCCTGCTGGTGTGACCCTACTGGTGAGTGTGTCCCTGCTGGTGTCTGTTACCCTGCTGGTGAGTGTGACCCTGCTGGTGACTGTGACCCTGCTGGTGAGTGTGACTCTGCTGGTGAGTGTGACTCTGCTGGTGAGCGTGGCCCTGCTGGTGCGATCCTGCTGGTGCGACCCTGCTGGTGAGTGTGACCCTGCAGGTGAATATGGCTCTAGTGTGGCCCTGCTGCTGTGGCCACCTTGAAGTGTGTCAAGTGTTAGCGGGCTGTTAGTTGTGGACAGTAGCAACACTGGTTGGTGGTGTTAGTGGATAGCAGCAACACTGGTTGGTGGTGCTAGTGGTGGATAGTAGCAACACTGGTTGGTGGTGTTAGTGGATAGCAGCAACACTGGTTGGTGGTGTTAGTGGTGGACAGTAGCAACACTGGTTGGTGGTGTTAGTGGATAGCAGCAACACTGGTTGGTGGTGTTAGTGGTGGACAGTAGCAACACTGGTTGGTGGTGTTAGTGGTGGACAGTAGCAACACTGGTTGGTGGTGTTAGTGGTGGACAGTAGCAACACTGGTTGGTGGAGTTAGTGGTGGATAGTAGCAACACTGGTTGGTGGGGTTAGTGGTGGATAAATAGCAACACTGGTTGGTGGTGATAGTGGTGGACAGTAGCAACACTGGTTGGTGGTGTTAGTGGTGGATAGTAGCAACACTGGTTGGTGGTGTTAGTGGTGGATAGTAGCAACACTGGTTGGTGGTGTTAGTGGTGGACAGTAGCAACACTGGTTGGTGGTGTTAGTGGTGGATAGTAGCAACACTGGTTGGTGGTGTTAATGGTGGATAGTAGCAACACTGGTTGGTGGTGTTAGTGGTGGATAGTAGCAACACTAGTTGGTGGTGTTAGTGGTGGATAGCAGCAACACTGGTTGATGGTGTTAGTGGTGGACAGTAGCAACACTGGTTGGTGGTGTTAATGGTGGACAGTAGCAACACTGGTTGGTGGTGTTAGTGGTGGATAGTAGCAACACTGGTTGGTGGTGTTAGTGGTGGACAGTAGCAACACTGGTTGGTGGTGTTAGTGGTGGATAGTAGCAACACTGGTTGGTGGTGTTAATGGTGGATAGTAGCAACACTGGTTGGTGGTGTTAGTGGTGGATAGTAGCAACACTAGTTGGTGGTGTTAGTGGTGGATAGCAGCAACACTGGTTGATGGGGTTAGTGGTGGACAGTAGCAACCCCTGGTTGGTGGTGTTTAATGGTGGACAGTAGCAACACTGGTTGGGGGTGTTTAGTGGTGGATAGTAGCAACACTGGTTGGTGGTGTTAGTGGTGGATAGTAGCAACACTGGTTGGTGGTGTTAGTGGTGGATAGTAGCAACACTGGTTGGTGGTGTTAGTGGTGGATAGTAGCAACACTGGGTTTGGGGGTGTTAATGGTGGATAGTAGCAACACTGGTTGGTGTGTTAGGGGTGGATAGTAGCAACACTGGTTGGTGGTGTTAGTGGTGGATAGTAGCAACACTGGTTGATGGTGTTAGTGGTATACAGTAGCAACACTGGTTGGTGGTGTTAGTGGTGGATAGCAGCAACACTGGTTGGTGGTGTTAGTGGTGGACAGTAGCAACACTGGTTGGTGGTGTTAGTGGTGGATAGTAGCAACACTGGTTGGTGGTGTTAGTGGTGGATAGTAGCAACACTGTTTGGTGGTGTTAGTGGTGGATAGTAGCAACACTGGTTGGTGGTGTTAGTGGTGGACAGTAGCAACACTGGTTGGTGGTGTTAGTGGTGGACAGTAGCAACACTGGTTGGTGGTGTTAGTGGATAGCAGCAACACTGGTTGGTGGTGTTAGTGGTGGACAGTAGCAACACTGGTTGGTGGTGTTAGTGGAATAGCAGCAACACTGGTTGGTGGTGTTAGTGGTGGACAGTAGCAACACTGGTTGGTGGTGTTAGTGGTGGACAGTAGCAACACTGGTTGGTGGTGTTAGTGGTGGACAGTAGCAACACTGGTTGGTGGAGTTAGTGGTGGATAGTAGCAACACTGGTTGGTGGTGCTAGTGGTGGATAGTAGCAACACTGGTTGGTGGTGTTAGTGGTGGACAGTAGCAACACTGGTTGGTGGTTTTTAGTGGTGGATAGTAAACAACACTGGTTAATGGTGTTAGTGGTGGATAGTAGCAACACTGGTTGGTGGTGTTAGTGGTGGACAGTAGCAACACTGGTTGGTGGTGTTAGTGGTGGATAGTAGCAACACTGGTTGGTGGTGTTAATGGTGGATAGTAGCAACACTGGTTGGTGGTGTTAGTGGTGGATAGTAGCAACACTAGTTGGTGGTGTTAGTGGTGGATAGCAGCAACACTGGTTGATGGTGTTAGTGGTGGACAGTAGCAACACTGGTTGGTGGTGTTAATGGTGGACAGTAGCAACACTGGTTGGTGGTGTTAGTGGTGGATAGTAGCAACACTGGTTGGTGGTGTTTTGTGGTGGATAGTAGCAACACTGGTTGGTGGTGTTAGTGTGGATAGTAGCAACACTGGTTGGTGGTGTTAGTGGTGGATAGTAGCAACACTGGTTGGTGGTGTTAATGGTGGATAGTAGCAACACTGGTTGGTGGTGTTAGGGGTGGATAGTAGCAACACTGGTTGGTGGTGTTAGTGGTGGATAGTAGCAACACTGGTTGATGGTGTTAGTGGTATACAGTAGCAACACTGGTTGGTGGTGTTAGTGGTGGATAGCAGCAACACTGGTTGGTGGTGTTAGTGGTGGACAGTAGCAACACTGGTTGGTGGTGTTAGTGGTGGATAGTAGCAACACTGGTTGGTGGTGTTAGTGGTGGATAGTAGCAACACTGTTTGGTGGTGTTAGTGGTGGATAGTAGCAACACTGGTTGGTGGTGTTAGTGGTGGACAGTAGCAACACTGGTTGGTGGTGTTAGTGGTGGACAGTAGCAACACTGGTTGGTGGTGTTAGTGGTGGATAGTAGCAACACTGGTTGGTGGTGTTAGTGGTGGACAGTAGCAACACTGGGTTTGGGGGTGTTAGTGGTGGATAGTAGCAACACTGGTTGGTGGTGTTAGTGGGACAGTAGCACACTAGTTGGTGGTGTTAGTGGTGGATAGCAGCAACACTGGTTGATGTGTTAGTGTGGACAGTAGCAACACTGGTTGGTGGTGTTAGTGGTGGATAGTAGCAACACTGGTTGGTGGTGTTAGTGGTGGATAGTAGCAACACTGGTTGGTGGTGTTAATGGTAAAATAGTAGCAACACTGGTTGATGGTGTTAGTGGTAACAGTAGCAACACTGTTGGTGGTGTTAGTGTTGGATAGCAGCAACACTGGTTGGTGGTGTTAGTGTGACAGTCGCAACACTGGTTGGTGGTGTTAGTGGTGGATAGTAGCAACACTGGTTGGTGGTGTTAGGGGTGGATAGTAGCAACACTGGTTGGTGGTGTTAGTGGTGGACAGTAGCAACACTGGTTGGGGGTGTTAGTGGTGGATAGTAGCAACACTGGTTTGTGGTGTTAGTGGTGGATAGTAGCAACACTAGTTGGTGGTGTTAGTGGTGGATAGCAGCCAACACTGGTTGAAAGTGTTAGTGGTGGACAGTAGCAACACTGGTTGGTGGTGTTAATGGTGGACAGTAGCAACACTGGTTGGTGGTGTTAGTGGTGGATAGTAGCAACACTGGTTGGTGGTGTTAGTGGTGGATAGTAGCAACACTGGTTGGTGGTGTTAGTGGTGGATAGTAGCAACACTGGTTGGTGGTGTTAGTGGTGGATAGTACAACCTGGTTGGTGGTGTTAATGGTGGATAGTAGCAACACTGGTTGGTGGTGTTAGGGGTGGATAGTAGCAACACTGGTTGGTGGTGTTAGTGGTGGATAGTAGCAACACTGGTTGATGGTGTTAGTGGTATACAGTAGCAACACTGGTTGGTGGTGTTAGTGGTGGATAGCAGCAACACTGGTTGGTGGTGTTAGTGGTGGACAGTAGCAACACTGGTTGGTGGTGTTAGTGGTGGATAGTAGCAACACTGGTTGGTGGTGTTAGTGGTGGATAGTAGCAACACTGTTTGGTGGTGTTAGTGGTGGATAGTTTGCAACATGGTTGGTGGTGTTTAGTGGGGGACAGTAGCAACACTGGGTTGGGGGTGTTAGTGGTGGACAGTAGCAACACTGGTTGGTGGTGTTAGTGGATAGCAGCAACACTGGTTGGTGGTGTTAGTGGTGGACAGTAGCAACACTGGTTGGTGGTGTTAGTGGATAGCAGCAACACTGGTTGGTGGTGTTAGTGGTGGACAGTAGCAACACTGGTTGGTGGTGTTAGTGGTGGACAGTAGCAACACTGGTTGGTGGTGTTAGTGGTGGACAGTAGCAACACTGGTTGTGGAGTTTTGTGGTGGATAGTAGCAACACTGGTTGGTGGTGCTAGTGGTGGATAGTAGCAACACTGGTTGGTGGTGTTAGTGGTGGACAGTAGCAACACTGGTTGGTGGTGTTAGTGGTGGATAGTAGCAACACTGGTTAATGGTGTTAGTGGTGGATAGTAGCAACACTGGTTGGTGGTGTTAGTGGTGGACAGTAGCAACACTGGGTTTGGGGGTGTTAGTGGTGGATATAGCAACACTGGTTGTGGTGTTAATGGTGGATAGTAGCAACACTGTGTTGGTGTTAGTGGTGGATAGTAGCAACACTAGTTGGTGGTGTTAGTGGTGGATAGCAGCAAAAACTGGTTGATGGTGTTAGTGGTGGACAGTAGCAACACTGGTTGGGGGTGTTAATGGTGGACAGTAGCAACACTGGTGGTGGTGTTAGTGGTGGATAGTACAACACTGGTTGGTGGTGTTAGTGGTGGAAAAGTAGCAACACTGTTGGTGGTGTTAGTGGTGGATAGTAGCAACACTGGTTGGTGGTGTTAGTGGTGGATAGTAGCAACACTGGTTGTGGTGTTAATGGTGGGTAGTAGCAACCCCTGGTTGGTGGTGTTAGGGTGGATAGTAGCAACACTGGTTGGTGGTGTTAGTGTGGATAGTAGCAACACTGGTTGATGGTGTTAGTGGTATACAGTAGCAACACTGGTTTGGTGGTGTTAGTGGTGGATAGCAGCAACACTGGTTGGTGGTGTTAGTGGTGGACAGTAGCAAAAACTGGTTGGTGGTGTTAGTGGGGGATAGTAGCAACACTGGTTGGTGGTGTTAGTGGTGATAGTAGCCCAAAACTGTTTGGTGGTGTTAGTGGTGGATAGTAGAAACACTGTTGGGGTGTAGTGGTGGACAGTAGCAACACTGGTTGGTGGTGTTAGTGGGTGGACAGTAGCAACACTGGTTGGTGGTTATGGTGGATAGTAGCAAACACTGGTTGGTGGTGTTAGTGTGGACAGTACCCAAAACTGGTTGGTGGTGTTAGTGGTGGATAGTAGCAACACTGGTTGGTGGTGTAGTGGTGGACAGTAGCAACACTAGTTGGTGGTGTTAGTGGTGGATAGCAGCAACACTGGTTGATGGTGTTAGTGGTGGACAGTAGCAACACTGGTTGGTGGTGTTAGTGGTGGATAGTAGCAACACTGGTTGGGTGTGTTAGTGTGGATAGTAGCAACACTGGTTGGTGGTGTTAATGGTAGATAGTAGCAACACTGGTTGATGGTGTTAGTGGTATACAGTAGCAACACTGGTTGGTGGTGTTAGTGTTGGATAGCAGCAACACTGGTTGGTGGTGTTAGTGGTGGACAGTCGCAACACTGGTTGGTGGTGTTAGTGGTGGATAGTAGCAACACTGGTTGGTGGTGTTAGGGGTGGATAGTACAACACTGGTTGGTGTGTTAGTGGTGGACAGTAGCAACACTGGTTGGTGGTGTTAGTGGTGGATAGTAGCAACACTGGTTGGTGGTGTTAGTGGTGGATAGTAGCAACACTGGTTGGTGGTGTTAATGGTGGATAGTAGCAACACTGGTTGGTGGTGTTAGTGGTGGATAGTAGCAACACTAGTTGGTGGTGTTAGTGGTGGATAGCAGCAAACACTGGTTGATGGTGTTAGTGGGGGACAGTACAACACTGTTGGTGGGGTTAGTGGTGGACAGTAGCAACACTGGTTGGTGGTGTTAGTGGTGGATAGCAGCAACACTGGTTGATGGTGTTAGTGGTGGACATAGCAACACTGGGTTTGGGGTTGTTAATGGTGGACAGTAGCAACACTGGTTGGTGGTGTTAGTGGTGGATAGTAGCAACACTGGTTGGTGGTGTTAGTGGTGGATAGTAGCAACACTGGTTGGTGGTGTTAGTGGTGGACAGTAGCAACACTGTTTTGGTGGTGTTAGTGGGGGATAGTAGCAACACTGGTTGGTGGTGTTAATGGTGGATAGTAGCAACACTGGTTGGTGGTGTTAGTGGTGGATAGTAGCAACACTAGTTGGGGGGTTTAGTGGTGGATAGCAGCAACACTGGTTGATGGTGTTAGTGGGGGACAGTAGCAACACTGGTTGGTGGTGTTAATGTGGACAGTAGCAAACATGGTTGGTGTGTTAGTGGTGGATAGTAGCAACACTGGTTGGTGGTGTTAGTGGTGGATAGTAGCAACACTGGTTGGTGGTGTTAGTGGTGGATAGTAGCAACACTGGTTGGTGGTGTTAGTGGTGGATAGTAGCAACACTGGTTGGTGGTGTTAATGGTGGATAGTAGCAACACTGGTTGGTGGTGTTAGGGGTGGATAGTAGCAACACTGGTTGGTGGTGTTAGTGGTGGATAGTAGCAACACTGGTTGATGGTGTTAGTGGTATACAGTAGCAACACTGGTTGTGTGGTGTTTAGTGGTGGATAGCAGCAACACTGGTTGGTGGTGTTAGTGTGGACAGTAAACAACACTGGTTGGTGGTGTTAGTGGTGGATAGTAGCAACACTGGTTGGTGGTGTTAGTGGTGGATAGTAGCAACACTGTTTGGTGGTGTTAGTGGTGGATAGTAGCAACACTGGTTGGTGGTGTTAGTGGTGGACAGTAGCAACACTGGTTGGTGGTGTTAGTGGTGGACAGTAGCAACACTGGTTGGTGGTGTTAGTGGTGGATAGTAGCAACACTGGTTGGTGGTGTTAGTGGTGGACAGTAAACAAACACTGGTTGGTGGTGTTAGTGGTGGATAGTAGCAACACTGGTTGGTGGTGTTAGTGGTGGACAGTAGCAACACTAGTTGGTGGTGTTAGTGGTGGATAGCAGCAACACTGGTTGATGGTGTTAGTGGTGGACAGTAGCAACACTGGTTGGTGGTGTTAGTGGTGGATAGTAGCAACACTGGTTGGTGGTGTTAGTGGTGGATAGTAGCAACACTGGTTGGTGGTGTTAATGGTAGATAGTAGCAACACTGGTTGATGGTGTTAGTGGTATACAGTAGCAACACTGGTTGGTGGTGTTAGTGGTGGATAGCAGCAACACTGGTTGGTGGTGTTAGTGGTGGACAGTCGCAACACTGGTTGGTGGTGTTAGTGGTGGATAGTAGCAACACTGGTTGGTGGTGTTAGGGGTGGATAGTAGCAACACTGGTTGGTGGTGTTAGTGGTGGACAGTAGCAACACTGGTTGGTGGTGTTAGTGGTGGATAGTAGCAACACTGGTTGGTGGTGTTAGTGGTGGATAGTAGCAACACTGGTTGGTGGTGTTAGTGGGGGACAGTAGCAACACTGGGTTTGGGGGTTTAGTGGTGGATAGCAGCAAAACTGGTTGATGGTGTTAGTGTGGACAGTAGCAACACTGGTTGTGGTGTTTAATGGTGGACAGTAGCAACACTGGTTGGTGGTGTTAGTGTGGATAGTACAACACTGGTTGGTGGTGTTAGTGGTGGGTAGTAGCAACACTGGTTGGTGGTGTTAGTGGTGATAGTAGCAACACTGGTTGGTGGTGTTAGTGGTGGATAAATAGCAACACTGGTTGGTGTGTTAGTGGTGGATAGTAGCAACACTGGTTGGTGGGGTTAATGGTAGATAGTAGCAACACTGGTTGATGGTGTTAGTGGTATACAGTAGCAACACTGGTTGGTGGTGTTAGTGGGTGGATAGCAGCAACACTGGTTTTGGGGGTGTTAGTGGTGGACAGTAGCAACACTGGTTGGTGGTGTTAGTGGTGGATAGTAGCAACACTGGTTGGTGGTGTTAGGGGTGGATAGTAGCAACACTGGTTGGTTGGGGTTAGTGGGGGACAGTAGCAACACTGGTTGGTGGTGTTAGTGGTGGATAGTAGCAACACTGGTTGGTGGTGTTAGTGGTGGATAGTAGCAACACTGGTTGGTGGTGTTAATGGTAGATAGTAGCAACACTGGTTGATGGTGTTAGTGGTATACAGTAGCAACACTGGTTGGTGGTGTTAGTGGTGGATAGCAGCAACACTGGTTGGTGGTGTTAGTGGTGGACAGTAGCAACACTGGTTGGTGGTGTTAGTGGTGGATAGTAGCAACACTGGTTGGTGGTGTTAGGGGTGGATAGTAAACAACACTGGTTGGTGGTGTTAGTGTGGACAGTAGCAACACTGGTTGGTGGTTTTTAGTGGTGGATAGTAGCAACACTGGTTGGTGGTGTTAGTGGTGGATAGTAGCAACACTGGTTGGTGGTGTTAGGGGTGGACAGTAGCAACACTGGTTGGTGGTGTTAGTGGTGGACAGTAGCAACACTGGTTGGTGGTGTTAGTGGTGGACAGTAGCAACACTGGTTGGTGGTGTTAGTGGTGGACAGTAGCAACACTGGTTGGTGGTGTTAGTGGTGGACAATAGCCACAGTTACCATCACGTACCTCCTCTGGTCCTTGGACAGGTCTCGCCTACGTCATAAGGAAGAGACTCAGCTTCTGCTCCGTCAACAAGATTGAGAACAACATCACCTGGGCGGACGTCAAGGTTGATTCTGACGGCACCGTCTCCATGCAGAGTCCTTGGAACTTCGAGGAGATGGACCAGGAAATGCAGTACAACGGCGCTGTGAGTCCTTCACTGTTTCGTTCACCGTTATCACTGCTTCTTCCTCCTGCATCACTGTATATGAGCAATTAACCATAGTTCAATCCATTCTGGAGCATAATTATGTACATTTCTCAATCTTACCCGGGAGGAGGACCATTGTTCAGTGACCACCAGACAGAAGTTGTTCTAACTAGACCATCTCACTGTATAACAGTGACCACTATTTCTGGTGCATGAATTTACTGCTTCACTGCATTCTGGCACATGTATACGGTTGATGATTCTCACTGCATGCTTGCAGGCAGTGACAACTGACACACTAATTTAGTCTACGAGATAAAATCTCTTGAATTAGTGACTTTTGTTTTGTAAATATATATTGTTATATATGTACATGATTCGTATATAATACCGATAACATGAAGAATTAAACACATGTGAAACATCTGGGTATCTTTATTGTAGACGTTTCGCCCTCCAGTGGCTTTATCAGCACAAATTCAAGGACGTGATAATTGGAAGACAGGAGAACTATGTACGAAAGATGAGGTAATGATTCCCTCAACCTTGGAGTTCTGAGGGACTGATTACCTTATCTTTTGTACACAGTTCTACTGTCTTCCAATTATTATGTCCTAGAATCTGTATTGATAAAGCCACTGGAGGGCGAAACGTCTACAATAAAGATACCCAGATGTTGCGCATGTGTCTAATTTTCATTGTTATATATAATTATTCATACAGTCACCTGAAGATCAGTAACTCTGTCCATCCTTCAAGAAAATCAATTAATTCATTTTTGGCACTTTAATTATTTTCAGCAACCTAACCGAACCCAAATTAAAGTAATATACTTCATCTTAATTTACCTAACAAGCTGAAAAATTTCGGCATAGCTTGCGTTAGGTATTTTAAGATGGAAAAGGATGTATCGTTCTTTAAGGTAACCCAGCGAGAAAAACATTTTGATATACCTGTTTGTTAATTACACTGTTGGTTGTGACAGCACTGGGAGCGAGGTATGAGAGCTGACGTCTGGGTTGGTATTAAGAAGAACCAACTATTCAAAATTAACGAAACCTACGTCTGGTATTTCGCCTCTGTGAGTACATCCTTTGGTATTATTATCTAATGGGTAGGCTAGGCTTGAAGCCTCTCCACCATCAAGACCATTAATGTTTGGATGGATTAAGCTAAGTTAGGTTTGTTAGGTCAAGTTAAATTTAACAAGGGAAATCTTTTAACCGGACTTTGTTTCGCACATAGTGGGATTTTATCATGTACTTGTTATTTTCCCACTGTGGGCGAAATGTGTCATACGTTCTCCTGTAGGTTAAATATACATAACATATATTTTATGTGTTTATAATATCTGTAGGTCCTCGGGAACATTGTAAAAAAAATTACTTATAATACAAGGGTCTAAAATTAAGGGCCCCCATCCAGAAGATAAGATAAGATAAGATTTCGTTCGGATTTTTAACCCCGGAGGGTTAGCCACCCAGGATAACCCAAGAAAGTCAGTGCATCATCGAGGACTGTCTAACTTATTTCCATTGGGGTCCTTAATCTTGTCCCCCAGGATGCGACCCACACCAGTCGACTAACACCCAGGTACCTATTTGCTGCTAGGTGAACAGGACAACAGGTGTAAGGAAACGTGTCGAAATGTTTCCATCCGCCGGGAATCGAACCCGGGCCCTCCGTGTGTGAAGCGGGAGCTTTAGCCACCAGGCCACTGTTAAACAGTGCCCTTTTAAGTCACCTGCTTCATAAATATATTCAACAAGCACCTCCTAATTCTTACACCTGTTGCCCCTGTTTACCTAGAGATAATTAGGCACTCAGGAGGTTATTGGCTCTTTTGCGCTTTGCGAGGAGCCTGCAAATGAGCTGAGATAATAATCTTAGACTGTAAGAACAATGTGGTATAAAGGAGACGAGAGAATATGTGCAGAATATTTGAGTAGGAGAAAATCAAAGAGATATTCTCTTCTTATTGTATAACATATCAGTTTTTGGTGAATACTGTTACCTAGTGTTGGTTAATTGTTGTGAGTGGCATCCTGGGGGAGAGGAATAAAGTCACTGTTGCTCGGTTGGCAACGCACTTGCTTCACACACTGAGTGTCCGTGATTCAGTCCCCGGCACGGGTGGAAATATTGGACATGTATCCTTACGCCTGCTGTCCCTGTTCACCTAGTACTAAGTAGGTATCTGGTGTTAATCATTTTATACCTGCCGTTCCTCTTCATCGAGCAGAAACTAGGTACCTGGGTGTTAGTAGACTGTTGTGGGTGGCATCCTGGGGGACAAGATTAAAAGACCACAGTGGCAATAAAACGAACAGTCCTCCATGACGCACTGACTTTATTGGGTTATACTGAGTGGCTAACTTTCCGACTTAAAAACCACTTACTTAAAACCTTCCAAAGTTATTACAACATTTCTCTTCTTTCCACTTGAAAAATACACTGTAGAAAATAGGATGATCATTATATACATTCTCTCCATATACAGGATTTTATCAGTCATTCTCCCGTCTTTTATCATTCCTTGGATTAAGTAATAGGGTAGTAAATAACCCAGAATGGTAACAGGTAACGAGAATAGTTTAGTTAGTCATTGATTATTTAACGTTTTCTTTGATTTGATATCACTAGAGTATGTTTTCTATGTTATCCAGCCTTTAAGGGGAAACTCTTGCATATTGGTGTATTACTATTATTAGGATTTTGTATGGATTTTTAACCCTGGAGGATTACCCACGCAAGATAACCCAGGAAAGTCAGTGTGTTATCGAGGACTGTCTGTCTTATTTCCACTGTAGTCCTTAAGTTTTGTCCCCCAGGATGCCACCTACACCAGTCCACTATCGCCCAGGTAGCTACTTGCTGCTAGGTGAACAGGGACAGCAGGTTTAAGGTGACTAACACCTAGGTACCCACATACTGCTAGGTGAACAAGAACAGCAGGTGTAAGGTGACTAACATCCAGGTGCCTACTTACTGCTAGGTGAACATGTACAGCGTTTCACTCGTGCTGGGGAGCGATTATAGGTCCTTCAGCGTGTGAGACGAGGACACTACCAACCTGTCCACGAGGTACAATACACAATACTCAGGGCTACACATTAGCAGTGATGATATACTATCTGGTAGTAAAGACCTTTAGGAACCCCAAATTAAAATAAGCCACACTCTGTGTGGCTTATTTCTTTAAGGAATCCTTATTTATTTATTTATTTATTTTTATTTGCACATGATACATAGTTGTGCAAAGAAATATAGTGATTTGGGAGTACATGCCAAAAGCCCCTTGTATGCAGAGCATTTTGGGTAGGCTTAAAATAAACTTAAGATTAACTAAGCAATGATATGTCTAAAGATTTCAGGCTATCCTTGGATTATCCCTTATTACCTCCCAGTCTCTAGGAGCCGTGTGATCCTTATGGGTTTAGCACTCCCCCATGATAATAACATAATATTAACAATAATAAGAATAATAATAACAATAATAATAATAATAATTATTATTATTATAATAATAATAATAATAATAATAATAAAAAATAATAATAATAATAAAATAATAATAATAATAATAATAAAAATAATAATAAAATAATAATTATTATTATTTTATTATTATTATTATTATAATAATAATAATAATAATTTCTCTTGTATCCAGCCTATGACCAGTGACTTGCAGGGGTCGGCGCCCACAGTGCCTGTCATTACCACTACTGACAAGGTCCCCATTAAGCTGGAGAGATATATGACAGAGGTAAGCTTAATCAAGACTTTTACCTTTTAATTACTAATTGTAGGTACGGCAATTTTTACCTACCTTATGAGACAAAGTTATTTTATTTTGATAAATCGATTTCTACAATATGATTAAAAAGGGATTAGACAAATACATGAGCGGGAAGAACTGGGTTTAATTAATTCCTGAGGCACTGATGCGGATTCTTGTTATGGTCACTAAGCAAGAACTCATTTAAAATTAAGTCCTTTCTAAAAATTTCTCTTATACGTTTAAAGATATTTTTGTGCCAAAAGAACCTTAGAAAACTAACCTAACCTTATTATAACAAGTGCCGTTTAATTTAGCCTAATCCAACTAAATGTATTGTGGATACGTTTACAATAATTTAATAATAAACAAACGGAATTAAATATATTTTTTTCGTTAGGTTCAGAATGATTTTTGTGAATTTATGGCATATACAAATTTTCGCTTGCCTTATTTAGCAAGAAGAGCGTTGCTATTTAAGCCAAAATAGCAAGTTTTACCTATTCGGCACGACATATATATATCTTGATGTGTATTTACTTGAAGCAACGGGTAAAAACGTCGCCTAGAAATTATGGATAATTTGGGATAATGTTCGTTGTTTTATTTCCACTGTTGTCTTCTGTTGTGGCAAATTGTGGTACCTGTTTCTTACCTGTTTGTGAAGTGAATATAATAATATCATTAGTGATAAACACAAGGGTGGTTGATTGAAGGAAGGTTGATTGAAGGAAGGTTGGTTGAAGGAAGGTTGATTGAAGGAAGGTTGATTGAAGGAAGGTTGGTTGAAGGAAGGTTGATTGAAGGAAGGTTGGGTTTAAGGAGGTTGGTTGAAAGGGAAAGGGTTTATTGAAGGGGAAAGGGGGTTGAAGGAAGGTTGGTTGAAGGAAGGTTGGTTGAAGGAAGGTTGGTTGAAGGAAGGTTGGTTGAAGGAAGGTTGATTGAAGGAAGGTTGGTTGAAGGAAGGTTGGTTGAAGGAAGGTTGATTGAAGGAAGGTTGGTTGAAGGAAGGTTGGTTGAAGGAAGGTTGGTTGAAGGAAGGTTGGTTGAAGGAAGGTTGGTTGAAGGAAGGTTGGTTGAAGGAAGGTTGGTTGAAGGAAGGTTGGTTGAAGGAAGGTTGGTTGAAGGAAGGTTGATTGAAGGAAGGTTGGTTGAAGGAAGGTTGGTTGAAGGAAGGTTGGTTGAAGGAAGGTTGGTTGAAGGAAGGTTGATTGAAGGAAGGTTGGTTGAAGGAAGGGTTTGGGTTTAAGGAAGGTTGGTTGAAGGAAGGTTGGTTGAAGGAAGGTTTTGGGTTGAAGGAAGGTTGGTTGAAGGAAGGTTGGTTGAAGGAAGGTTGGTTGAAGGAAGGTTGGTTGAAGGAAGGTTGATTGAAGGAAGGTTGGTTGAAGGAAGGTTGATTGAAGGAAGGTTGGTTGAAGGAAGGTTGGTTGAAGGAAGGTTGGTTGAAGGAAGGTGATTGAAGGAAGGTTTGGTTTTAAGGAAGGATGGTTGAAGGATGGTTGATTGAAAGGGAAAGGGTTTGGGTTTAAGATGGTTGGTTGAAGGAAGGTTGGGTTGAAGGATGGTTGGTTGAAGGAAGGTTGGTTGAAGGAAGGTTGGTTGAAGGAAGGTTGGTTGAAGGAAGGATGGTTGAAGGATGGTTGATTGAAGGAAGGTTGGTTGAAGGATGGTTGGGTTTAAGGAAGGTTAGTTGAAGGATGGTTTTGGTTGAAGGAAGGTTGGTTGAAGGAAAATTGGTTGAAGGAAGGTTGGTTGAAGGATGGTTGGTTGAAGGAGGTTGATTGAAGGAAGGTTGGTTTAAGGGAAGGTTGGTTTAAGGAAGGATGGTTTTAAGGATGGTTTATTGAAGGAAGGGTTTGGGTTTAAGGGAAAGGTTGTTGAAGGAAGGATGGTTGAAGGATGGTTGATTGAAGGAAGGTTGGTTGAAGGAAGGTTGGTTGAAGGAAGGATGGTTGAAGGATGGTTGATTGAAGGAAGGTTGGTTGAAGGGTGGTTTTGGGTTTAAAGGGAAAGGGTTTGGTTTGAAGGATGGTTGGTTGAAGGAAAGGGTTTATTGAGGAAGGTTGGTTGAAGGAAGGTTGGTTGAAGGAAGGGGTTTGGGTTTAAGGAAGGTTGGTTGAAGGAAGGTGTTGAAGGATGGTTGATTGAAGGAAGGTTGGTTTGAAGGAAGGTTGGTTTTAAGAAGGATGGTTGAGGATGGTTGATTGAAGGAAGGTTGGTTGAAGGAAGGTTGGTTGAAGGAGGATGGTTTAAGGGTGGTTGATTGAAGGAAGGTTGGTTGAAGGATGTTGGTTGAAGGAAGGTTGGTTTAAGATGGTTGGTTGAAGGAAGGGTTTATTGAAGGAAGGTGGTTGAAGGGAAATTGATTGAAGGAAGGTTGGTTGAAGGAAGGTTGGTTTAAGGAAGGATGGTTTAAGGATGGTTTATAAGGAAGGTTGGTTTTTAAGGAAGGTTGGTTTTAAGGAAGGATGGTTTGAAGGGTGGTTGATTGAAGGAAGGTGGTTGAAGGAGGTTGGTTGAAGGAAAGATGGTTGAAGGTGGTTGATTGAAGGAAGGTTGGTTTAAGGATGGTTGGTTGAAGGAAGGTTGGTTGAAGGTGGTTGTTGAAGGAAGGTTGATGAAGGAAGGTTGGTTGAAGAAGGTTGGGTTTAAGGAAGGTTGGTTGAAGGGAAGGTTGGTTGAAGGATGGTTGATTGAAGGAAGGTTGGTTGAAGGATGGTTGGTTGAAGGAAGGTTGATTGAAGGAAGGTTGGATGAAGGAAGGTTGATTGAAGGAAGGTTGGTTGAAGGAAGGATGGTTGAAGGATGGTTGATTGAAGGAAGGTTGGTTGAAGGATGGTTGGTTGAAGGAAGGTTGATTGAAGGAAGGTTGGTTGAAGGAAGGTTGGTTGAAGGAAGGTTGGTTGAAGGACGATTGGTTGAAGGAAGGTTGGTTTAAGGATGGTTGATTGAAGGGAAAGGGTTTGGGTTTAAGATGGTTGGTTGAAGGAAGGTTGTTGAAGGATGGTTGATTGAAGGAAGGTTGGTTTAAGGATGGTTGGGTTGAAGGAAGGTTGGTTGAAGGAAGGGTTTGTTGAAGGAAGGTTGGGTTTAAGGAAGTTGATTGAAGGAAGGTTGGTTGAAGGAAGGTTGGTTGAAGGAAGGTTGGGTTTAAGGAAGGTTGGTTGAAGGAAGGTTTATTGAAGGGTTGGTTGAAGGGGTTTGAAGGTTGGTTGAAGAAGGATGGGTTTAAGGGAAAGGTGGTTGAAGGAAGGTTGGTTGAAGGAAGGGTTGGTTGAAGGAAGGTGGTTGAAGGAAGGTTGGTTGAAGGAAGGTGTTAAGGAAGTTGTTGAAGGAAGGTTGGATTGAAGGAAGGTTGGTTGAAGGAAGGTTGGTTGAAGGAAGGGTTTGGGTTTAAGGGAAAGGTTTTATTTAAGGAAGGTTGGTTGAAGGAAGGATGGTTGAAGGAGGTTGAGAAGTTGGTTGAAGGAATTTGGGTTTAAGAATTGGTTGAAGGAAGGTTGGTTTAAAGGAAGGTGGTTGAAGGAAGGTTGATTGAAGGAAGGTTTTTGAAGGAAGGTGGTTGAAGGATGGTTGATTGAAGGGTTGGTTGAAGATGGTTGGTTGAAGGAAGGTTAGTTTGAAGGATGGTTGTTGAAGGAAGGTTGGTTAAGGAAGGTTTGGTTGAAGAAGGTTGGTTGAAGGAAGGTTGGTTGAAGGGAAATTGTTGAAGAAGGTGTTTAAGGAAGGTTGGTTAGGAAGGATGGTTGAAGGATGGGTTGATTGAAGGGGAAGGTTGGTTGAAGAAGGTTGGTTAAGGAAGGATGGTTGGGAAGGAAGTTGATTGAAGGGAAAGGGTTTGGGTTTAAGGAAGGTTGGTTGAAGGAAGGATGGTTGAAGGATGGTTGATTGAAGGAAGGTTGGTTGAAGGATGGTTGGTTGAAGGAAGGTTGGTTGAAGGATGGTTGGTTGAAGGAAGGTTGATTGAAGGAAGGTTGGTTGAAGGAAGGTTGGTTGAAGGAAGGTTGGTTGAAGGAAGGTTGGTTGAAGGAAGGATGGTTGAAGGTGGTTGGGTTGAAGGAAGGGTTTGGGGAAGGAAGGTTGGTTGAAGGAGGATGGTTGAAGATGGTTGATGAGGGAAAGGTTGGTTGAAGGAAGGTTGGTTGAAGGAAGGATGGTTGAAAAAGGAAGGGTTTGGGTTTAAGGTGTTTTTTTGAAGGAAGGTTTGGTTTAAGGATGTTGGGTTGGGGGAAAGGGGGGGGGGGAAGGATGGTTGATTGAAAGGGAAGGGGGTTGAAGGGGGGTTTGGGTTTAAGGAAGGTTTGGGTTTAAGGAAAGGTTTTGGTTTTAAAGGGAAAGGTTTGGGTTTAAGGAAAGGTTTTATTGAAGGAAGGGGTTTGGTTTAAGGAGGTTGGTTTTAAGGAAAGGGTTTGGGTTGGGGGTGGTTGGTTTTTAGGAAAAGGTTTGGGTTTAAGGAAGGGGTTTGGTTTTTTGGAAAGGGTTTGGGTTTAAGGGGAAAGGTTTGGGTTTAAGGAAGGTTTGGGTTTAAGGAAATTTTTGGTTGAAGGAAGGTTTGGGTTTAAAGGGTTGTTGGTTGGAAAGGGAAAGGGTTTGGGTTTAAGGGGAAGGGGGTTTGGGTTGGGAAAGGGTTTGGGTTTAAGGAAGGTTTGGTTTAAGGAAGGTTTTGGTTTTAAGGAAGGTTTGGGTTTAAGGGGAAGGGTTGATTGGCGGAAAAGGGTTTGGGTTTAAGGGGGTGGTTGTTTTAAAGGGAAAGGGTTTGGTTTAAGGAAGGTTGGTTTTTTTGGATTGTTGGTTTGAAGGAAAGGTTTGGGTTTAATAAAGGGTTTTTGAAGGAAGGTTGGTTGAAAGGAAAGGGTTTGGTTGAAGGAAAATTGGTTTTTAAGGAAGGTTGGTTGAAGGGATTTTTGGTTGAAGGGAAAGGTTGGGATTTTAAGGAAAGGTTTGGGGTGAAGGAGGTTGGGTTTAAAAGGGAAAGGGTTTGGTTTAAGGAAGGGTTTGGTTTTAAGGGGGGTTTGGTTGAAGGATTGTTGGTTGAAGGAAGGGGTTGAAGGAAAGGGGTTGGTTTTTAAAAAGTTGATTTGGGGAAAGGGGGTTGAAGGAAGGTTGATGAAGGAAGGGGGGTTGAAGGAAGGTTGGTTTTTAAAGGGAAAGGGGTTTGTTGGGAAGGGGAAGGGTTTGGTTTTAAAAAAAGGGGATTGAAAGGGAAAGGGTTTGGTTGAAAAGGGAAAGGGTTTGGGGAAGGGAAAGGGTTTGGTTTAAGGAAGGTTGGTTTAAAGGGGGTTTGGGTTTAAAGGGAAAGGTGGGTTTAAGGTTTTTTGGTGAAGGAAGGTTGGTTTTAAGGGAAAGGTTGGTTTAAAGGAAAAGGGTTTGGGTTTAAGGAAAAGGGGGTTGAAGGAATTTTTGGGGAAGGAAAAGGTTTGGTTTAAGGAAGGTTGGTTGAAGGAAAAGGGTTGGTTTTGAAGGAAAGGGGGGGGTTTACGGAAGGTTGGTTTAAGGGAAAGGGTTTGGTTTTAAGGATTGTTGGCCCGAAGGGAAAGGGTTTGGGTTTAAAGGGAAAGGGTTTTGAAGGAAAAGGTTTTGGGTTTAAGGAAAGGTTTGGGTGAAGGAAGGTTGGTTGAAGGAAGGTTGGTTTTAAGGAAGGTTTGGGTTTAGGAAGGTTGGTTGGGAAAGGGAAAGGTTGGTTTAAGGGGTTGGTTGAAAGGGAAAGGGTTTGGGTTTAAGGAAAGGGTTGGGTTTAAGGAAAATTTGGCGAAGGAGGTTGGTTTAAAGGGGGGTTTGGGTTTAAGGGAAAGGGTTTGGTTTTTTTTAAAAGGGAAAGGTTTTTGGTTTTAAGGTTGTTGGTGAAGGAAGGTTGGTTGAAGGGTTGTTGGTAAAGGGAAAGGGTTTGGGTTTAAAGGAAAAAGGGTTTGGGTTTAAGGATGGGGTTTGGGGAAAAAAGGTTGGTTTTGAAGGAAAGGGTTTGGGTTTAAAGGGAAAGGTTTTGGGTTTAGGATTGTTGGTTGAAGGGGAAAGGTTGGGGTTTAAGGAAAGGGTTGGGTTTAAGGAAGGGGTTTGGGTTTAAGGATTGTTTGTTGAAGGAAGGTTGGGTTTAAAGGAAAGGTTTGGTTTGAAAGGGAAGGGTTTGGGTTTAAGGAAAAAGGGTTTTTTTGAAAGGAAAAGGGTTTGGGTTTAAAGGGAAGGGGTTGGGGTTTAAGGAAGGTTGGTTGAAGGAAGGGTTTGGGTTTTTTTAAAGGGAAGGGGTTTGGGTTTAAGGTTGGTTTGGGTTTAAGGAAAGGTTGGTTTAAGGATTGTGGTTTTTAAGGGAAGGTTGGTTGAAGGAAAGGTTTGGTTTTAAGGAAGGTTTTGGGTTTAAAGGGAAAGGGTTTGGGTTTAAGGAAGGTTGGGTTTAAGGAAGGTTGGTTTTTAAGGAAAAGGGTTTGGGTTTAAGGGGAAAGGGTTTGGGTTTAAGGGAAAATTGGTTGAAAGGGAAGGGGTTTGGGTTTAAGGAAGGTTGGTTGATGGAAGGGGTTTCCCGAAAAAGGGAAGGGGGTTTTTTGAAGAAAAGGTTTGGGTTGGGGAAGGGTTTGGGTTGGGAAAGGGAAAGGGTTTGGGTTTAAGGAAGGTTGGTTGGGGAAAGGGAAAAGGGTGGGGGAAGGAAAGGGTTTGGTTTTTAAGGAAAGGGTTTGGTTTAAGGAAAGGGTTTGGTTTGGGAAAGGAAAAGGTTTTGGTTTTTAAGGAAGGTTTGGTTTTAAAGGGGGTTGGTTGAAGGAAGGTTGGCCCCGAAGGGAAAGGGTGGTTGAATGAAGGTTGGTTGAAGGGAAGGGGTTTGGGTTTAAGGAAGGGTTTGGGTTTAAGGAAGGTTGGTTGGGAAAGGGAAAGGGGGTTTTGGGGTTTAAGGGGAAAGGGGGGTTGAAGGAAGGGGGTTTTTTGGGTTTAAGGGAAAGGGTTGGGTGAAGGGAAAGGTTTGGGTTTAAGGAAGGTTGGTTTAAGGAAGGGGTTTGGTTTTAAGGAAGGGGTTTGGGTTTAAGGAAGGAAAAAGGGGGTTGAAGGTTTTTCCGGTTTGAAGGTAGTTGGTTTAAGGATGGTTGGCTGAGGATGGTTGGCTGGGAAAAGGGTGGTTTGGTTGGGAAAGGGTAGTTGGTTGAAGGGGGTGGTTGGCTTTTGGGGGTGGTTGGGTGAAAAGGTGGGGTTTGGTTTTAAGGGATGGCCCGGGTTTAAGGATGTTTGGGTTTTAAGGATTTGGTTCGAAGGGTGGTTGATAAGGAAGGGTTTGGTTTAAGGGTAGTTGGTTGAAAGGGGGGGGTTTGGCTGAAAGGTGGGGTTTGGCCGAAAGGGGGGTTTTGGGGGTTTGAAGGATGGTTGGTTTTAAGGTGGTTGGCTGAAGGTTTGGGTTGGTTTACGGATGGTTGGTTGGGGAAGGTTTGGTTGGGCCCGAAGGATGGTTGGGGTTTAAGGATGGTTTGGGTTTAAGGATGGTTGGCTGAAAAGGAAAGGTTTTTTGAAAGGGGGTTGGTTGAAGGGAAAGGTTGGTTGAAAGGGTAGTTTGTTGAAAGGGTAGTTTTGGGTTGGAAAAGGAAAAGTTGGGGTTGGGAAAGGTAGTTGGGGTTTAAAGGGAAAAGTTGGTGAAAGGGGTGATGGTTGAAGGAAGTTTGGTTGAAGGTGGTGGTTTTAAGGAATGGGTGGTTTAAGGTGGTTTTTGAAGGTTGGGTTTTGGTGAAGGGTGATGGTTGGGGGTAGTTGGTTTTTAAGGATGGGGTTTGGGTTTTAAAGGGTTGTTTGGGTTTAAAGGATGGTTTGGTTTTAAGGATGGGGTTTGGTTTTAAGGGTGGTTGGGTTTAAAAGGGTAGTTTTTGAAGGTAGGGTTTGGGGGAAGGATAGTTGGTTGAAGGATAGTTGGGGTTTAAGGGGGTAGTTTGGGGAAGGATGACTGGTTGAAAAGGGTTTGTTTGGTTTAAGGAGGCTTGGGTTTAAGGAGGGGGGGGTTGAAGGATGGTTTGGGGTTGGGGAAGGGTGGTTGGTGAAGGAAAAGATGGTTGGGGGGATAGTTTGGGTTTTTAAGGTTTGGGTTTGGGTTTTTAAGGATAGTGTTTTTAAGGGTGGTTTTGGGTTTAAGGATGGTTGGTTTGGGGGATGGTTGGTTGAAAGGATTGTTTGTTGAAGGGTAGTTTTGGTTTAAGGATAGTTTGGGTTTAAGGATAGTTGGTTGAAGGGGTAGTTGGTGAAGGATGACGGGGTTTAAGGTGTTGGTTGAAGGATGGCTGGTTTAAGGAAAGGGGGGGTTGAAGAAAAGGGGTTTTTGAAGGATGGTTGGCTGAAGGATGATGGTTGAAAGGATAGTTGGTTGAAGGATGGGGTTTGGGTTTAAGGGGTGTTGGTTGAAGAAAAGTTGGTTGAAGGATAGTTGGCTGCAGGAAGGTTGGCTGAAGGATGGTTGGCTGAAGGATGGTTGGCTGAAGGATGGTTGGTTGAAGGATGGTTGGCTGAAGGATGGTTGGCTGAAGGATGGTTGGTTGAAGGATGGCCGGTTGAAGGATAGTTGGTTGAAGGATGGTTGGCTGAAGGATGTTTGGTTGGTTGCACGAGGGTCTTGAAGGCTGCATGTCACTTGTTAACCTCCACTCAAGAATACTTCACTCACCTAAGTAAAGATTAAAGCTAGCTCTTACCATATATACTCCGAGAGACATGTACCTCACGTCGTATATACCTGTAAATCAATCATATAATAAGATCGTAATAAACTTGTGAGGTATTAGCAGTGAATTTATGCAGTGTGAAATATAATCCAGTCTTGAGGAGTTTGGAAAGCTTCTGTGAATCTCATTATCATTCACTGTGATTAGGTTATAACAGATAAATAATAACTGTTAGCATATGCATTTTACCAAATTATAAATCAGTCCATGAAGATTGAGGGACTGATTACCTCAAACTCCTCCTGATCTTCACGATTCTCCTTTGTATGGACTGATGAAGCCACTGTGTGGCGAAACGTTTCCTCAATAAAGATACCCAAGAGTTGCACATGTGTCTAATTTATCAACTTCTCGGTTATCTGAACCGTTCATCTACGTGTTAGCTGTTGCTAGTGCAACAATACGTTAAGAAAAAATATCTGAGATGAGTGTTGCGTGTTCTGCGTCGCCTGCAACGTGATTCTTAACATTTGCTTTCAAGCATTTGATGCCTCTACTGACTTTGACATGGCCAGGAAATTTATTCCAGTCCTTCACGGCAGGCAGTGGATATTGCAAAACTGTATTCACCTCCTCTTCTACCATATTGATTTTGGTTCGTAAGTTTCATAACATTGTGGGAAAGATTGTGGTGGACCCGACTATTGACAGTTAGGTTGACGTGGTTTTATCTGGATGTTTTACTCTGCCTGCCACATTTAGCATTTTCTTTCGTGTTTGTAATTTCATCCTCACCTACATGTTTGATTTGTGTCAGACCCAGGAGATAACTTACCTTCTTACCCCGAGTAACTTGCAGTTTTTCCTACATTAAGACATTAAATTTTTACTAATCCTACACTCACATCTTGGGACTAACCCTTCTTCAGCAGCAGTAACACCACCAGCAGCAGTAACACCACCAGCAGCAGTAACATCACCAGCAGCAGAAGTGCCACCCAACTATATCTTCACATTACCTCCCAGCTCTGCAGATACTGCAGCACCTCTCATTACTCACCCTCTCCCATATTGCAGCTGGCAGAATTGCCACACCTATCGTACAACTTCTACGGGTACGACAGCCAGGTGCCCACCACACACCACCACGACATATCTCCCTGCTACAGCTCCGACCACATGCGTCACTTCCAGTTCGCCATGCCACCAGACACACTGAACAAGACCTTGTACAAGAGGGAGAATGTCATGTATGCTCTGGTAGAAGCCCTCAGTGCCACAGGGAAGGTCACCCCTCTCAGGATCAACCGGATGGAGGTGCGTGCCGGGGCAGTGGCAGGGTATACGGGCACGGCATGGGGCTGGGCTAAGGAAAGGACAGGTGACATACAGACAAAGAAGATTTTTGTAGGGGAAATCAATAAGATAAAGTATTATAGTCTATTTAGCATATAAGGTTATTAGGGACCCTTATCCTCAGGAACGAGAATAAACATATCTTAGAAAGGCAAATCTCTTGGATTTTCCCTGAGTTGTTTGAGTGTTTTTCGTGCCCTACCTTCCTTAATACTTGTATATATATGTTCATATTACTGTTCTTAGACCTTTTATTTGAATGATACAGTCGGGAATATTTTTGCATAAGTACAATAGTTGAGGAAAGAGAGAGAGAGAGAGGGAAAAACGAAGGAAGGCAGGAGAGCGGATATGAAGACATGGGAGGAGGGGAGCTAGACTAGCCACTACCGTAAACACTAGGAATGATCTCCTCTAATGTATCCCTCCCTACAGATCAAGGAACTGCAGTCAGAGCTGCAGGTGTTGTTCACGTTGTTGGAGAAGCCCACGGTGGCTGGGGACCCAGAGTTCCCCATCTCTGAGAATACCATGAATCAGGCGGCAGATCTCATCCAGAAGACTATAGATAAGTCGCAGCTGGTTGCCGTCGTCCAGATCACCAGCGGACTAGTAAGTGTGTTTGTGGACTCAGTTATCCACAATGAGAAACAACTTGGCCACAGTTATGAAATACATGTGAGAGAGATGTGTATATTTCTGTGTCAGTCATCAACTTAATTCTCCTTTTACAGCGTGAATTATAAGCTGAAATGCCATTTATTCATTTCTGCACACTCGAATTTTATCTAAAAATCTCTCACAAACGTTTAAAAAAGTGGAAGAACGAGGTGCAGTAGAGACTTTCTTCTGATTGTAACTGACATACAGATCTCTCTAACCTGTGTTTCACATTGCTCTCCAGGTGGTTTATGTATCATTCTTTATAACATTGTAACAATCCAAGCTTCCACCTGGTTGCTGGGTTGAGTGTCAGCTCGTAACAGTCTTCACTAACTAGCTACCTGGGCGCTATCATTCACATTGTTCAAGGGCTGGTATGGAGTCAACTTCCTCTCCAAGCATTTCTGGGATGACCCCCATCCATTCTACCTTCATCTTTTGTCAACCTATCCCTCTCCATCGTTTTAACATCCTAAAATCACCTCAACAAACCCAACTCAGTCCACTGTGAGGGTAGAAATATTGGACGTGCTTCCTTACACCGGTTGTCTATGTTCACCCATCGGTAAAATGGGTACATGGGTGTTAGTGGACTGGTGTGGGTCGCATCCTGAGACAAAACTGTCCTAATTTACCCAAAATACTCTGCATAACAAGTGACTTTCTATTTACTAATGTGTCACTGATGTCAGCTATGCTCTGTATACCTTGTACATGTATTTATAGAAAGAAAGATATTATATTATCTCCCATCTTCACAGTCTAATTTTATCACTTATTCCGTTCCTTTTCTTCTGGTTTAAAATTATCTTTAACCTTAGTAGATCAGCTAGTTTCACATTATTTTTTTCTGCTCTCCTTCTCCGTTTAAAATAATCGTCCATGTGAGAGGGAGGGAGGGAAGGAAGGAAGGAAGGAAGGAAGGAAGGAAGGAAGGAAGGAAGGAAGGAAGGAAGGAAGGAACGAAGGAAAGAGGGAAGGAAGGAAAGGGAGTAGAGGGTAAAAATGTTGTATGAGTGAGAACATCTTGAGTCTGTTTTCTAAAACACTGACAGGTATCTTTCCACTACCACCACCACTGTCACAGGAGCCACAGATGGTGCAGGTGGTGGCGATGCCAGGGACGCTGAAGGAGGTACAGCGGGACGACGGACACACACGTGGTACCAACATCCTCACAGGATACTCCCCAGGTAACTCTTAAATCTTCCTCCTCCTCCAGTTAGGTCCATTATTCTTTCTTATGTCTTCCCAGATTTACGTATGTCCTCCCTTTTCATGAATTCTCTTGTTATGGTAGATTTCCAAATTTTCTGATTAGACTCTGAGGAAGACTCAGACTTCCACCTGTCCGGATGATGACGGTCTCACAGGTTTTTCTCGTTTCATACATATGTAACTCAAGCAGATCCCTCTCCTCCTCCTCAAGGTAAGTTTCCTCTCATACTCCAAGAAGACAGGATCCTCTCATATTCCAAGACAGGTTCCTCTCATACTCCAAGAAGACAGGTTCCTCTCATATTCCAAGACAGGTTCCTCTCATACTCTAAGAAGACAGGTTCCTCTCATACTCTAAGAAGAAAGGTTCCTCTCATACTCTAAGAAGACAGGTTCCTCTCATACTCTAAGAAGACAGGTTCCTCTCATATTCCAAGAAGACAGGTTCCTCTCATACTCCAAGAAGACAGGTTCCTCTCATACTCCAAGAAGACAGGTTCCTCTCATACTCCAAGAAGACAGGTTCCTCTCATACTCCAAGAAGACAGGTTCCTCTCATACTCCAAGACGACAGGTTCCTCTCATACTTCAAGAAGACAGGTTCCTCTCATACTCCAAGACGACAGGTTCCTCTCTTCCCCCAGATTCCTCTTCCATTTTCTAAGAAGGCCGGCCTTCCTCCAGATTCCTCTTCCATCTTCTAAGAAGGCAGACCTTCCTCCAGATTCCTCTTCCATCTTCTAAGAAGGCCCACCTTCCTCCAGATTCCTCTTCCATCTTCTAAGAAGGCCCACCTTCCTCCAGATTCCTCTTCCATCTTCTAAGAAGGCCCACCTTCCTCCAGATTCCTCTTCCATCTTTCAAGAAGGCCCACCATCCCCCAGATTCCTCTCCCATCTTTTAAGAAGGCCGACCTTCCTCCAGATTACTCTTCCATCTTCTAAGAAGGCCCATCTTCCTCCAGATTCCTCTTCCATTTTCTAAGAAGGCCCACCTTCCTCCATTCTCCTCTTCCATCTTCTAAGAGGGCCCACCTTCCTCCAGATTCCTCTTCCATCTTCTAAGAAGGCCGACCTTCCTCCAGATTCCTCTTCCATCTTCTAAGAAGGCCCTCCTTCCTCCAAATTCCTCTTTCATCTTCTAAGAAGGCCCACCTTCCTCCAGATTCCTCTTCCATCTTCTAAGAAGGCCCACCTTCCTCCAGATTCCTCTTCCATCTTCTAAGAAGGCCCACCTTTCCCCAGATTCCTCTTCCATCTTCTAAGAAGGCCCACCATCCCCCAGATTCCTCTTCCATCTTCTAAGAAGGCCCATCTTCCCCCAGATTCCTCTTCCATCTTCTAAGAAGGCCGACCTTCCTCCAGATTCCTCTTCCATCTTCTAAGAAGGCCGACCTTCCCCCAGATTCCTCTTCCATCTTCTAAGAAGGCCGACCTTCCTCCAGATTCCTTTTCCATCTTCTAAGAAGGTCGACCTTCCCCCAGATTCCTCTTCCATCTTCTAAGAAGGCCCACCTTCCTCCAGATTCCTCTTCCATCTTCTAAGAAGGCCCACCTTCCTCCAGATTCCTCTTCCATCTTCTAAGAAGGCCCATCTTCCTCCAAATTCCTCTTCCATCTTCTAAGAAGGCCCACCTTCCCCCAGATTCCTCTTCCATCTTATAAGAAGGCCCACCTTCCCCTAGATTTCTCTTCCATCTTCTAAGAAGGTCGACCTTCCTCCAGATTCCTCTTCTATCTTTTAAGAAGGCCGACTTTCCTCCAGATTCCTCTTCCATCTTCTAAGAAGGTCCACTTTCCTCCAGATTCCTCTTCCATCTTCTAAAAAGGTCGACCTTCCTCCAGATTCCTCTTCCATCTTCAAAGAAGGCCCACCTTCCTCCAGATTCCTCTTTCATCTTCTAAGAAGGCCCACCTTCCTCCAGATTCCTCTTCCATCTTCTAAGAAGGCCCACCTTCCTCCAGATTCCTCTTCCATCTTCTAAGAAGGCCCACCTTCCTCCAGATTCCTCTTCCATCTTCTAAGAAGGTCGACTTTCCTCCAGATTCTTCTTCCATCTTCTAAGAAGGTCGACCTTTCCCCAGATTCCTCTTCCATCTTCTAAGAAGGCCCACCTTCCTCCAGATTCCTTTTCCATCTTCTAAGAAGGCCCATCTTCCCCCAGATTCCTCTTCCATCTTCTAAGAAGGTCGACCTTCCTCCAGATTCCTCTTCCATCTTCTAAGAAGGTCGACCTTCCCCCAGATTCCTCTTCCATCTTCTAAGAAGACCCACCCTCCCCCAGATTCCTCTTCCATCTTCTAAGAAGGTCCACCTTCCTCCATATTCCTCTTCCATCTTCTAAGAAGGCCCATCTTCCCCCAGATTCCTCTTCCATCTTCTAAGAAGGCCCACCTTCCTCCAGATTCCTCTTCCATCTTCTAAGAAGGCCCACCTTCCTCCAGATTCCTCTTCCATCTTCTAAGAAGGCCCATCTTCCTCCAGATTCCTCTTCCATCTTCTAAGAAGGCCCCCCTTCCCCCAGATTCCTCTTCCATCTTCTAAGAAGGCCGACCTTCCCCCAGATTCCTCTTCCATCTTCTAAGAAGGTCGACCTTCCTCCAGATTCCTCTTCCATCTTCTAAGAAGGCCCATCTTCCTCCAGATTCCTCTTCCATCTTCTAAGAAGGTCGAACTTCCCCCAGATTCCTCTTCCATCTTCTAAGAAGGCCCACCTTCCTCCAGATTCCTCTTCCATCTTCTAAGAAGGTCCACTTTCCTCCAGATTCCTCTTCCATCTTCTAAGAAGGTCGACCTTCGTCCAGATTCCTCTTCCATCTTCAAAGAAGGCCCACCTTCCTCCAGATTCCTCTTCCACCTTCTAAGAAGGCCCACCTTCATCCAGATTCCTCTTCCATCTTCTAAGAAGGCCCACCTTCCTCCAGATTCCTCTTCCATCTTCAAAGAAGGCCCACCTTCCTCCAGATTCCTCTTCCATCTTCTAAGAAGGTCGACTTTCCTCCAGATTCCTCTTCCATCTTCTAAGAAGGTCGACCTTTCCCCAGATTCCTCTTCCATCTTCTAAGAAGGCCCACCTTCCTCCAGATTCCTATTCCATCTTCTAAGAAGGCCCATCTTCCCCCAGATTCCTCTTCCATCTTCTAAGAAGGTCGACCTTCCTCCAGATTCCTCTTCCATCTTCTAAGAAGGTCGACCTTCCCCCAGGTTCCTCTTCCATCTTTTAAGAAGGCCCACCTTCCTCCAGATTCCTCTTCCATCTTCTAAGAAGGCCCACCTTCCTCCAGATTCCTCTTAAATCTTCTAAGAAGGCCCACCTTCCTCCAGATTCCTCTTCCATCTTCTAAGAAGGCCCACCTTCCTCCAGATTCCTCCTCCATCTTCTAAGAAGGCCCACCTTCCTCCAGATTCCTCTTCCATCTTCTAAGAAGGCCCACCTTCCTCCAGATTCCTCTTCCATCTTCTAAGAAGGCCCACCTTCCTCCAGATTCCTCTTCCATCTTCTAAGAAGGCCCACCTTCCTCCAGATTCCTCTTCCATCTTCTAAGAAGGCCCACCTTCCTCCAGATTCCTCTTCCATCTTCTAAGAAGGCCCACCTTCCTCCAGATTCCTCTTCCATCTTCTAAGAAGGCCCACCTTCCTCCAGATTCCTCTTCCATCTTCTAAGAAGCCCACCTTCCTCCAGATTCCTCTTCCATCTTCTAAGAAGGCCCACCTTCCTCCAGATTCCTCTTCCATCTTCTAAGAAGGCCCACCTTCCTCCAGATTCCTCTTCCATCTTCTAAGAAGGTCGACCTTCCTCCAGATTCCTCTTCCATCTTCTAAGAAGGTCGACCTTCCTCCAGATTCCTCTTCCATCTTCTAAGAAGGCCCACCTTCCTCCAGATTCCTCTTCCATCTTCTAAGAAGGTCGACCTTCCTCCAGATTCCTCTTCCATCTTCTAAGAAGGCCCACCTTCCTCCAGATTCTCTTCCATCTTCTAAGAAGGTCGACCTTCCTCCAGATTCCTCTTCCATCTTCTAAGAAGGCCCATCTTCCTCCAGATTCCTCTTCCATCTTCTAAGAAGGCCCACCTTCCTCCAGATTCCTCTTCCATCTTCTAAGAAGCCCACCTTCTTCCAGATTCCTCTTCCATCTTCTAAGAAGGCCCCCCTTCCTCCAGATTCCTCTTCCATCTTCTAAGAAGGCCCACCTTCCTCCAGATTCCTCTTCCATTTTCTAAGAAGGCCCATCTTCCCAGATTCCTCTTCCATCTTCTAAGAGGCCCACCTTCCTCCAGATTCCTCTTCCATCTTCTAAGAAGGTCGACCTTTCTCCAGATTCCTCTTCCATCTTCTAAGAAGGCCCACCTTCCTCCAGATTCCTCTTCCATCTTCTAAGAAGGCCCACCTTCCTCCAGATTCCTCTTCCATCTTCTAAGAAGGTCGACCTTCCTCCAGATTCCTCTTCCATCTTCTAAGAAGGCTACCTTCCTCCAGATTCCTCTTCCATCTTCTAAGAAGGCCCACCTTCCTCCAGATTCCTCTTCCATCTTCTAAGAAGGCCCACCTTCCTCCAGATTCCTCTTCCATCTTCTAAGAAGGCCCACCTTCCTCCAGATTTCCTCTTCCATCTTCTAAGAAGGTCGACCTTCCTCCAGATTCCTCTTCCATCTTCTAAGAAGGCTGACCTTCCTCCAGATTCCTCTTCCATCTTCTAAGAAGCCCACCTTCCTCCAGATTCCTCTTCCATCTTCTAAGAAGGTCGACCTTCCTCCAGATTCCTCTTCCATCTTCTAAGAAGGCCCACCTTCCTCCAGATTCCTCTTCCATCTTCTAAGAAGGCTGACCTTCCTCCAGATTCCTCTTCCATCTTCTAAGAAGGCCCACCTTCCTCCAGATTCCTCTTCCATCTTCTAAGAAGGCCCACCTTCCTCCAGATTCCTCTTCCATCTTCTAAGAAGGTCCACCTTCCTCCAGATTCCTCTTCCATCTTCT